GCCATTCACGTCTTCGTCTCCAACGACCGTGTGGATCGAACCGTGGATTTACGGGATAGTGAACGCCGACATTCTTGACGTTTCCGACGGGTACTATAGCGCTATTAGAGACATGGACAAGAACGAGAAACGTGATGGACTTACAAAACCAGATCCAAGGACTGGAGCCCATCACCGCTTCCCAATTAGCTCTATTTGAGCCCAACCTAGATTCGCATTTTTAGTCAAAGTGTCGGAAAAAGCAAGCTATCACTCACCACCAGAGATTGCCCTCTTTCCCTATGCGACCCCATTCTTCATCCCAACGTTTCCGCAATGCTCTCCTTCCCTTGAAACCACTAGGAAGCCCAAGCTCTTTCCGGGGGTTACCCCTGAATGGTTGATTGTTCTCTCTTCCGCCCAAAAGACCACCGTCGCCTTCCCTATCCATCCCCAAGCACTTGCAGACTGGAATGACTTGGCTGAGGACTGCCCTTTCTTGTTCCTTCATCCCGGAGAATGTGTGCCATTCAACGGTGCTGGCATTACGACATAAAAGGTGCAGGTGCGTAAAGAACATTCCTGTTGAGAAGAGGCAGAATAGACCTGAAGTAACGAGCAATGCTATTAGGTTGGCGTCTATGGTGGGCGTATTAAACGTGGCCGGTGTCCCAGGCGGGTTATCAGGAGCAGTGGCGTGATGAACAATCTCTGGGATGAGAAGGCCAATACAGTAAAATAGATAGATAGAGCACCAAAACACGAAAACTACAAAGAACTGTATAGCAACGTCAGTAACGGGATCTTAGGCACAAGTGTAGGAAACGTACTTTTCTGTTTTGAGCACCCACGCACCCACCAATCCAGGGACAGTGATGATCGTAGCCCAAGACACACTACAATACATTAGGGACTGGCAACGCGGAAAAGGGAATAAAGCTTACTGTATTACAAATGCGACAGTGGTGGGTTCGTGGTGGCTTTACAAAGCCCTCTCGATAACAATATCGCTGATAAGGATCCAATACGGGGCGTGGCGATGGCTTTCGGTCCCATCGACTGAGTTCTGGCGGAAGATCGTCGAGGTATGGCTTTGGTATGTCATTTCCGTATGGGATCACCTGTTCATCGTAGGGTTCTGTTCTCCCTGCCAGATTGACATTCGGATGGGTCGAGGAAGGAACCACGCCGGGGGTTTGCGAGGATGGTGTATGAACAACGGTGAGAT